GAAAAATTAAAAAGTTTACGAAACAAAAAAGTTACAATAAGCTAAGATTAATTTATCATAAAAGAGAGAAAAACACTGTTTATAAATGTAGCATGACCTGAGCGCACAGGGCGGCAAGTCTCCAGCGCGGACGGAAGGTCCTGGAGGCCCCCACTCCCTGCCGCCCCCGGAGCAGCGGCCGCGCCCGCAGCCCCGCTCAGGGCAGTGCCCACACAGGTGCGCGTTTGAGTCTTTCATTCCACTCACTCCATTTAGACACACAAACACTTCCCGTTGCGCGACCGTCGCCCGCAGTTTTTAGGCGCAGTCACGTGCTGTAAGAGAGTAAGTACCGGCCGCGCCACCTGAAGGTGGAGCTCAAGAGCTTCCTGGAGGTGTGGACGGACGGCAAGACCCACGACCTGCACCTTCGCCGCGGCCTCCCCAAGAGGGCAGCGACAACTAGCGCCGGCCGGGACGTCCCTGTCCTGTCGCTTCGTGGCCGCCGGCTCCTCTCGCTTCTCGGCCTCGTGAGGCTGTGGACGCCGCAAGGTTCTGACTCAGGAGTCCAGAACTAGGTCTACCCTAACCACTTACGCAGTCAGCGCAGGGCTGTTTCTATCTTTCCTAAGGGCTGTTGCAACCACAGGAACTGAAAAAAAAAAGTATTTTCTAATCCAAATATCGATATTCTTCACACCAGGCCACGGGGCTCCTTTTGTCACATGGCGTTCAGTCCCCGAACGGCCACCGAGGCCAGTCCCTGAGGCTGGAGGGAGCAACGTCCCCCTCGGTGAGCGCTGAGATGCTTTAAAACAACCCTGTGGTCGAGTCTCAGCCAGGGAAAGAGCAGACGCTGCCGCACGTGAGTTTCTGGCACGGTGACCGCTGCCTCCGCTGTACTTGCCAGTTCAAATGGTTGCGATGACGTCCCTTTTCTTGGTTTTAATTTCTGGGCAGATGACTGTGCTGTGAGAACAGCACCAGTGAGGGGCCTGGCACAGTGCCTGGCATGAAGTAGGTGCTCAATAAATATTTTTTCAGTTAAACATAAAAAAGCAAAACAATAAAAACCTCACGTGCCGTGAGGTTTGTAGCCTGGGAGTGTAGAGGCTGTGCCACGCAGGTCTGTGTAAGTGCACTCTCGCGTGTCCGCGTGACACAGCGCCTGACGACTCACTTCTCGGAATGTATCCCAGCTATTAAGCAACCCAGGACTGTGTTTTCCACGAGAGCACGTGCGTGTAAGTGCACAAGCTCGCTCTGGAGAAACCGCATTGACTCGATATGAGGTGCCCATGGGGAAGCGGAGGAAGACACTGGGAAGGCACGTGTGTTCAAGGACATCCTTAGTAGTATCTAGTATGTTTTAATGTCTTGGAATTACTTTAAAATGCACTTGCATTGCTTATGTAAGTAAAACGTGATTGAAAAGCTAACTTAAAATTGATGGACACTTTCTCCTGTTGTCAAGCAGTAGAGGTGAGACCAGGACAAATTCTTGTCCTTTTATGGTCTCCAACGGACTCAGCTTGCAGGAACATTGCTGAAGACGGTCTGAATAACAGAAGGTCATCCTCTTACTATTGGGGAAGTAGCCACCACAGTCACACCACCGTGCACTGACAGCATGGCTCCAATGAAGGAGAGACACAGGCTGGATCCAAAGGAACTTGGATAAAAATTTAAAACAGTGGCTGACACCAGTACGGCCGTTTCCGGGGACACTGGCACATACTTACTCAGATGACAACTTCCAGCATTAAAATGGAAGTTTAAATATAATCTTTAATCATCCCCATTACTATTAGCTCTGCATTTCTTTATTATTGCTATGCTTCTGTGTGTGTGTTTAAACTAGAGATGTCCTTACCTGTGGACCGCCAATCAACCCACTGCAATCGGGCTTCTGCCTCTGCAATTGCTCTTGCCTTGTCTATCAAAGGCATGCTACTTGCCAAATTTGGGAAATATCTTTCAGGCCTTTTTCATATTCTCTTAGACATTTGACTCTGCTGGCAGTCCTTCCTGAACTCCTCTCCCCTGCTCCACAATGCTACCATCCCGGGTTCTCTTATTTCTCTCCTAAATCCTTAGTCTCTTTTAGCTGCTAGTCTTCTGCCTGTTTCCTAAGCCTGGGTGTTCCCTAGAACTAGTTTTGGGTCCCTTGGTGGGTTGCCAAAATAGCTCCAGTTCTCCTTCCACCCACCCCACCCACCCATGCCCTTGCAGGGTGACTTTGCAGGATAGGGTCTGCTTCCCCACCCTGGAATCTGGGCTGCCCTTGCAGCTTGCTTCGGCCAGTGCTTAGCAGAGGACATGGTGCTGTGTCAGCTTGGGGCCCAGGCCTCGAGACGCCATGTGTGTGTTACCTCTCTCCAAGAACGACGCCAGACAACACGTGAGCGAGCCCGAGCCAGGGTGTGGACGGTGCGGGAGACACAGTCCTACCGCCCTGGCTGCCCAGCAGGCTGAGACTGGTGAAGAGGAGCAGGCCTTCGCATGGGGTCACACGACTGGCCCGTTGTGAAATTGCAGGGTCAGATCCTATCTAATCCTGTAATCTATGTCCCGACCAGCTGCCAGCAACTCTAGAAAAAGAGTCACCTGGCTGACCTAGGCCTTGGAGGGGTAGCCAAGGCCAAAAGAACTGCCCAGCTGAGTTCAGCCCAAATTGCTGACCCACAGAACTAGGGTGAATAAATGGCTGTTTCTTATGTAGCAGAAAGCTGACTGCCGCAGCCCCCTTTCAAGAGGCCCTGACTCTCTCTGGGCCTTCTACTCACACATGAGGCTTTGGCTCCTGTGAACCAATGGTCTCAACCCAGTCTCCAAAATGTTTCGATGGGATGAAGCCACAGGTTTTCAAGGGGACACCTTTGAAGAATAACCATTCTTCAAAGATTTATTAGCTCTACTACATCTTTATTTAGGTCTACCTCCTTTTGTTACCGTCTTGCCTTAATGTTACAAATATGGTCATTATTTTCAAACAGTGATTTATTTGAACAATATAATTGGAAAGATCAGAAATTTAAATGATATCTTTTGCTCCTTATCAGAATAGTGGAATAAAAGAGTACACTTGTAAATAAATCATACTGCTACTGGGTTAGCTCAGATGGCACATGAATCTGGAGCCTGCTCTGGCTACTGCTGGTGCCTAGAAACCTCCAGCATTTACTGACCACACAAAACACCGTCTTCGTAGGCGCACAGGATTGGGAATTTGGAAAAGACAAAGCAGGGTCAGCTTGTCTCTACTCTGTGACATCTGGGCCTCAGCGAGGAAGGTGAGATGGCTGAGGGGGGACCAATGGCTCAGGACCGGAATGTTCTGGAGGCATCTTCACTAACAATCAATGGTTGACACCAGCCATCAGCTGAAGCCCAGCCGAACCCCAGCCGAACTGTCAGACCACCTTGCAAATGATCTCTGCCTCAGGCTGGTTTGGGCTTCCTCACGGCATGGCAGCTGGATTCCCAGGACTAGCGTCCCAAGAAAGCCAAGTGGAAATGCTTGGCATTTTTATATCATGTATTCTCAGTGGTCACATGACATCGATTCAGCCACACTCTGGTGGTCAAGACCACAATAAAGTCTGCTAGATTCAAGTGCAGGAGACTGATCACTTGATAGAGGGAGTGTCAAGGCCGCGTTGTTTTTTAGAAAAAGCACATGGAACGGGCAATATCATTGAGGTCATCTTTGGAAATTATAGTCTATGAATGAATCATATGCAAAAAGCATTTGAAAATTAGCACATCTGTGTCTCAAAGGAAAAGGAAACATGTTAGATTGCCTTTTGTGAAGCGAGTTTAATAAACAAGGGCTTCTATGTACACATTTAGTAGCTTGCTACTGTGATGGGGGCTAGAATAATCGAGGGCAGCTTGTCGGTCTGTGGCCCCGCTCGCACTAGAGGCCCTTTATGTCAGTAATAAAGATGTCTTTTCGTGTTTCAAAGCACTAAAGAGAAACTGCATTGATTGGACATAAATATAACCGAAGCGTAACTAAACCTTTTCTTTACTCTGGGCTAGAATGTGGGCTACCAAAGTTGTGATTCAGTTATGTATGTTTTTATTAAATAAGAAAACAATCAATATAAATACTTCAAAATGTGAAAGCCCACTCCGGGAGGACAGGGATTGGGAAGAGAAATTAGTCGAAGGGGACCTGGTGACGGAAATCACGGAGATGAATATTCCAGGTGCCTGGAGGACGCACTTGGGAAGAAGGGACGACTGGGAGCCGAATCTATGGGATCTGGCTGCTGGCTGGTGCGGGTGCCGTTGGCTAGGTTTTCACTCCTGGAGAACCTTGGTGCCAATAACTGCCAGGCACGTCCCAGTCGCACTTGCTGGATACCTGGATCCCCCCAGACTCCACAGCGTGGGAGGCAGGAGGAGGGACATGTTTGCTCTGGCCCTGCCAGGACTCCATCTGTGCTGGGTGGGGAGCTGCGGGTGACCTGAGCCTGTTACTGTTGCCACCTGGGGGCCAGGCTGTGTCTTGGCCGTCCCCATGGGCAGGTGCGCAGCAGCGTAGGTGGGCCTGCAGAGGTGTCCTGGGCTGGCCTCTGCAGTCCCATGAATGGCTATTGGATGTGGCCACCTTGGAAGAGCGTGGACTTCCCAGCAGCTGGACAGAGCGCTCTGCAACAAAGGGGTGTGAGTGGCACAGCGCTGCGTCACCCCACTCCATCCTCACTCACAGGGACTTTGGGTGGGGGCATCTGACGTTTCACGGGGTCTCGAATGGGACTTGGAGCCAAATTGGATGGATGTTGAGAGGCTGGGTGACTCTCCTGAGATTTGGATTACATAAGCGGCGCCAAAGTAGAGGGAACACAAAATGTTTAGGATCATGGGATTTGCAAAGGTGCTTTTTATTTTCCTCAGTATTTGTCTGAATTTCTTAAAGTTTTCTAAACTGAATGTGCTCTCATTTTCTGATATGTTATAGATACAAAAATATTTATAGTTATAAAAATTAATAAGTATTACTTTTGAAAGGTAAGTTGGCAAGAATAACGTGAGAAACCAGACGAGGAAGCGGCTAACGTGAGAAAGGGCTCGGCATCTCGGGGCGCACAGATTCAGGCCGGGACGGAGCTGGGGACACGGTGACTGTGGCGAGGTAGCGTTGTTGCCACACCTGTGGAACCGGGTTCACCATGGGGCGCCCAGTTCAGGGACATAAATGAGCATGTCCAGGAAAGGACAGCCAAAACTGTGAGAGGTCAAGCAGCGTCGTCACTCAGGGCAGGGCTGACGGCACAGGATACGCCAAGCTTGGAGAAGAGGAGCTACAAGAGGGGCCTCGCCCAGGGCTGAGTCCTGAAAGAACAGCCATGTAGCAGGGAAGTGGCTTGTTGCTTGAAGTGCCAGAGCCTCAGTGTGTGGATTTCCATTTCAAATATTTCTGTAATTTTAAATTTTTTGTTATAATTTTTAGTTTGACAATTTTTTTTTAAAGAGGCACAAAAATACTGGAGCAAAGACCTGAGAACTTCCCATGCAGAACTGGTGATTTATAACCTGTCATCATATTTGTGCCACTTTTTAAAACATAAATTAAGTAAAACATACAAATAAAGCTGACTTTGCCCCATCTCTACTTCCATTTCCCTTGCCTCAGAGACAATCAGTAATAAGAATCTCACATCTTCTAACAACCTGTACATGCTACATATATGTTCAGCCCATTAATAGTCTGTACTGCACATGTGATGACTCATGCAATTTGTCCCATCCTGGAAATATCTTTTCCATTCAACAGTTTTTGAGTTTTTCCATGTTGATATAGAAAAATAGTTCATCTTTTTTAACTTCTGTATGGTATTTTGTCACATGAATATACGACAGTTTTAACCAGCCCATGGATGCTTAGGTCATTGCCAATGTTTTGCTGTTGTGGAGAATGCTGCAGTGACATCCTTGTGTATGTCTCACTTTATTCATGTCTAAGAGTTTCTGTACAGAAATAATGTAAAATTTCTAGATCATAGGATATGCACTGTTGGGAAAATATGATTAAGGAATTAATGAGATATAGCTCATAAGACAGTTATGTAAGGCTGGTGGCAGGGGCCCCCTGGATGGAAAAAGAAAACGCTTAGTGACCTGACCTGCCAAGGACAAACTGCCAGGCCCCACTGAGAGGAACCACACCCAGATCTCCACCTGGATTCGCTCCTGGATTCCACAAATACCTCCAGCCCCTCCTATTTCTCAACGACCTTCCAAGGTCACAATAGAGAATCCCAGCTCTTCCCGCCACAAGTCCCTAGCCCCGCCCAAAGGGTATAAAAGGCCTCAGCTCCTTCAAACTGCGGTGACTTCCGGGGCCCCCCTCTCTTGGGGCCCCAGAACCTCGTCCACGAGTGTATAATAAAGCCACGTGGTTTGGCTCCCACTCTTTCTCTCTTTGTGTCTGTCTTTTCTTTTCGCCGCCGCCGAAAAACCTTACAAGTTATTTTATTGTATCGTCCTATATTACTATATTAAAGACAGAAACAGGAGTTTTCAGGGTTTGCCCTGAAGGAACGTGTGAACTCAATGGTTGGCTGCTATCAAGGGAGGGCTCTCAGGGCTCTGGCAGGGATGTTTTCCAGGAAGGCTTCCTGGTATCTCAAAAACTGTGCACATCCCTGTTTTTCTGAAAGACAAGGCAGGGCAAAAAAGGCCCCCAGAATGGGAGCCAGAGACAACAGCGCCCTTTGCCCAGAGACACAGCCCTGTGTTATAAACAACCTGCTTTGTGGAGGTGGGCTTCCTGCTCTCTCCTGTCTGTCTGCCTTTTAAGTCCTCAATAACTGAATCAAAGAAATATAGAGTCACTTTACCTCTTCTGTTACACCTTTGTTAATTGACAACTACCTCTTAGAAATTAGGAGTTAGTCCCTAAAAGACTTTGTACCTGTTTGTTCACCTAAATAGTTTAGAAGCCCTTTGAGAGGACTTTTGACCCCAACCCACTACCTGTCTCCCCTAGCAACCGCATTCCCCGATATGTAAATGTGTTACCCTGACAACTGGCAATTGATATCTGTAATTATAAAAACCTGTGTGAATCTAACCATATTGCTGGATGTTCACAGGGATATGCCAGTCTCCTAAGTACCCTGCTGTGTTATATCTGATCTTTTTATATAAAACTATAAACTATACCTTAGTCTCTGTGTATTCTTTTATTCTCTCTATTTCCTATCAATTTTCTTATCCTCTGTGGTGCCCCTATCTAAGGGACTTGGCTCCGGGGAGAGAAGTAGCTAATTTCCTCGTGGGCCTGCCTCAACTTACCCGCATATGCATATTTTCAATTTTGCTAAATACTCTAAATAAGTTGCATATAAATGTCCTGGCAAATTTTATTGAAAATCTATTGTGTGCAAAGCATTGCATTAGTATTACCCCTGTGAGAATGTGCAGATGAACCAGAGTCCCCTAATTGAGAAGAGCTGCCTGATGATGGGGCAGCCCACCCGGGAGAGCAGGGAGGTGCCGTCATCAGAGACGCTTAACCAGAGGCCAGATGATAACCCGTTCAAGCATTAGCATAAGATCTAAATGATTCTTTCTTTGAATTCACTGCATTCAAGATTCAGTGATTACCTATAATCTTTGTTTATCTTGTCCTCCAAAGTGCTATTTGTTTGTTTTCTATCTTAAAATTTGCTTTTGTATTTTGCTTTTGGGAGCATAATATATATTCATTGTAAAAAATTTAAGCAGTAAATATAAGGAAGAATATTTTAAAATAACTCCATATGCCAGCTTCTCAAAAACTTAAAAATAGAATTATCATATGATCCAGAAATGTCACTTCTGAGTATATAACCAGAAGAACGGAGAGAAGGGACTCAAAGAGAATCTGCTATATAAACACTCATATTTGTAACAGCATTATTCACAATAGCCAAAAGGTGGAAGCAATTCAAGTGTTCAGCTATGATGAAAGGACAAACACAATGTGATGTATGCATAAGATCGAATATTATTCAGCCTTATAAAGGGAAGAGATTCTCACACATGCTACAACACGGATGAACCTTAAGAACATTTTGCTAAGTGAAATAAGCAATAATAATAATACATGAAAACAACAATAATAGATGAATGAAAAAGTACTTAATGATTCCACTGATACAAGGTACCTAGACTAGTCAATTCATAGAGGCAGAAAGTAGACTGGCAGTTACCAGGATTGGGGGAGGAGAAATGGAGCGTCAGCGGTTAATGGGGACAGTTTCAGTTTTGCACTATGAGAAGTTCTGGAGATGGATGGTGGTGATGGCTGTACAACGGAGTGAATGTAGCTATGCCACCAAACTGTGCTTAAAAATGGCTAAGATGGTAAATTTTATGTTATGTGTATTTTACCACCATTAAAAAGAAATTCTAAAAAGTAGGTAGTGAGAATGAGAAATGTCGTTGTCATCTTCAAGATCATAAAGATCTGTCTCAGTCACACACACAAAGAAGCCACCCTAAATATCACCACCTGCCTTTAACGTTAAAGACTTGAGATGTAGCAGGAGAAAAAGAAGTGGAAAGGAAGTATTTCTTCACTCAAAGGTTAATGGAGTTTTTTAAATTAAGAGGGCAAGTCACAATGTTCTTTTAAACTATGAATTTAAAATTTAAACAGCATAATTTGACTTCTGGGTCTGAAAGATGTGGATTTTAGCACTTTTACACTCCTCCCAACTTCTCCCGCGACCTCCCAAGTTTTGTGAAGATGTTTACTTTCAGGGTTCAGAAATGTCCGTCCTACTCCGCAGCCACAAAGCGACAGTGCTCCAGCATCAGTGCCACACTTACGTGTATTCCTCACTCGATGCTATTCCATTTATGTGTCCTATTTTCCAGGGCTTTTTCTAAAAGAAAAAAAAAAGACTTTATTAATTGACTGTATTTCATTAAGAAAGGGCCAAATGTGTTGCATTTTCTAACTCTTTAGTGGATGTGCGTTTTTCCTGTTACTTTATACCCACATGACACCTTGGCTTGAAATAAGTATCTTTGGTTACACTGCATTTTCTTCAGCACTTTGCAGTGTTGCTTCATAGTTTCCTTTCACTGTATTTTTTTGAGAAGTAAAATACTAACCCAGCTTACAAACCTTGATTTTTTTTTTTGATTTTGATTTTTTTTCCCAGCAGACCAAAGAATTTTTCCTTATCTTTGAAATTCAATAATTTAAGCAGACATGTAGTATAATACATTTTCCAGAACATTAATCATCAGGGAAATGCAACTTAAGAAAAATAGAAGTGAGATACACTATACATACATTACAGTGGCTAACATTCAAAAGACTGGCAGTACTAAATGTTGGTGAGGGGACAGAGCAACTGATTTGCTCATACACTGGTGTTGGGATGTAAAATGATCCAGCGATGCTGGAAAACTGTTTAGCAGCTCTATAAAGACTTAATCATACACATATCATATGACTCAGACTTTGCACTCCTACACATTTACCCAAGAGAAATGAAAATGTGTCCACAGAAAGACTTGTACCTGCATGGTTATAACAGCTTCATTTCCAAAATAGCCAAAGCTGGGGACGGGGTGTGGGAGGGGATCCTGGTACCTGCCTAAGCAGAATGTGATACCTCCATGCAATGGAACACTACGAGCAGCAAAAACGAAGCACTGGGCCACGGCAGCCGGTGTTGGGCACGAGCACTGGGCACTCCGGGTCTGTAGGGCACTGAGAGGACAGGTCCCCAGTCCAGAGGGCTCAGGAGGCGGGTGTTCTGACGGGCAGCCAGGCGAGCAGGGGACTGTACACCCTCTGCAGAGGCGGGGGCAGTTACGTTATTGACCAACCTTCTTTTTGCCCACTGCCTGGGAGAGGCCAAGGTACTGAGACAGCCGGGTGCAGCAAGGGGGCCTTGCTAGGCAGGCAGCCCAGCTGGAGATGGCAGGAAGGTCTCAAATCCATCTCCCAAGAAGCTCTAGGCCAGGGCTTTGAAGGGGAATTTGGCAGCAGGGGCTCAGGGCATTGGCATTGCCGACTGATTGGGTGGGGGTGAGATCACAGGACTGTAGCAACCGCCTTCTTGCACTGAGGCAATTTGTCTGTGGGGGCCACAGGAACACAGGGTGTGGAAAACATCTTAAGAGGCAGCCTTAGGTTTTACAATAGAGGTGTTTTCCAAAGAAGTGATTAAGGGAAGTTATAAATCTCATGACCAAACTTTTAAGCAGTAAGTTTAATAGGCAAGCAGGCTATGGGCAAAAGCTGGTTAATTCTTAACTATAGCTACACCTTATAAAGCTTAGACCTCAAGCAAAGTTTTAACCCCTTGGTTTCAGTTGATTTTATAGGGATGGTTTCAGTTACAGGTAATTCCTTCCTTCCTTCCTTCCTTTCTCCCTCTCTCTCTCTTTCTCTCATCCATCCCTCCTTGTCTTTTTTTTTCTTTTTTTTTTTCAGAGTCTCATTCTGTCACCCAAGCTGGAGTACAGTGGTGCAATCATAGTTCACTGTGGCCTCAAAAAAGTTAATTTTTTAAAGTAATATAGTAATTTAATTTAATTAGTGTCTGTCTTGGCATTGAGCCCTAGAATTTGATGTGTTCTTTTGGTCTAAAGATTCAGTTTATTCTTTATTTCAGATAAATGTTCTTGTATTTCTTCTTCATTTACTATTTATTTTCTGTTTGGTTATCTACCACTAGGACACCAATTACGCATACGTTAGATCATCTTTTTTGTCTTCACCATAGGCTATCTTTGCTCTGACCTCTTTAGATTTTTATCACCTGCATTTACTATGATTATATTAAACCTTTCATCTATGCCAGTAATTCCCTTTTAGCCATGTCTATTTTGTATGTTTATTTTTCAAATTTATTAATTAGTTCTTTAATACTTTTGTCTCTCTGATTCCATGCTTTTCACTAAACTTTTTCATGTCATGGTAGACATAGAAAATGATAATATTTTTGTAGCTTATTGATGTAAATGTCTGATGTTTTTTGCTGTCAGAAGACAACTTATCTAAGGATCTTGACTATTAGAGGCCTTTTTCAGCCTTCCTGAAGGCCAAGAATATCAATGTCTGACACTGGTTGGGATAGTCTACCCTATTTGTTTCTTTGGGCTACAATATTTCTTTTAATCTTATTTACTTTTTTAAACATTCCATCCTTTAACTCTTTTGTTTTACTGAATTCATGTTGTTAAACAGTAGTTTTATATATCAAAGCACTTTTGGAGAATTTACTCCCTTGTTGGAGGAAATATTACATGTATGTTTGCGTGTGTGTCTTTTATGTCACTCTCAAGATATATTTCTATTTGGCTGAAGTAAGATTGTATAGTAGCCGGCATATTTAAAAAAAAAAAATCTTGCTCATACTTGTGTGGATTGTTTTGATACAGTACAAATCACTTTTTAGCCCTTGGCTGTTTTCTTTATTCTGCTGTCATTTAGGGTCTAGGGAGCTCATGTACTCTACAGTTTTCTGTAGCTCGGGAAAGAGGCAGGGAGGACAGTGTCCGGGTGAGGCAACGCTTGGTCGCTGTTAGACCACCTGCCCTCCAGCCTCACCTCCGAGGTTTTGTTCCATGTCCACAGCAGTGTTGATCCCTGCTACTCGGTAGCCTCCTTCAGTCTTCCAAATGCTGCTGTAGGTTGGGATCGCAACAGCACCGTTTTACAGAGGACGGGCTGGGTGGGCAAGAGGAAGCCAGTGGAGTCCACAGGTGACAGGCAGAACAGAGTGCTAGATCCAGGCCTTCTACCTGCAGTCTGGTCTCCTCTAAGCTCAGCTGTCTGCAGGCATGTGGTTATTCCCCCCCTGCAGGGGACTGGGTGTTTTGCCTGTGACTCAGGCCTGGCCCACATGGCAGTCCTCCCTGCAAGCCACAGTGATTGTCCAGGAGGTGGGCGCGTGAACTGTGAGGAGATGCTCAGAATGCTCACGGTGTTAATCAGAGGGACAGACAGCAAAGTTCTTTCTGGTGGGGCTGCTGTCAGGTGTTTCTGGTAGGAATGTTCTCTGCCATTTGGGAAGGGGCTGCCTGCAGGGACAGGAAAGAGGTTGTGCCAAAAACAGCCACAGAGATGAGAAGCACAGGGAAGAAAGGAGAACATCTCAGTGGTGTGGGGCCCAGTCTGAATTCCCGGGGCCCTGGCTAGTCCAGTCCTCCCTCTGGTCTGGGAGCTACTCACATCTTTGCCGGTCTAGGTGTGGACCTGCGAGTGCCCTGCCCACAGCAAAAATGCTGGGTTCATGTGGAAGGATCCCTTTGTTCATACCCATGTGGTCTAGGGTGTAGCACCAAGCTATAAGCCTTGATATGGTATGATAGTTGATAGGAGTTGATGCTCACTGAGCCCTTACAAGGATGGCACATCTTTTAATATCTTGTGTGCTGTTTACATGATGTTTACACACACCAACTCATTTACGGTTTACTATTTACTATTTTTATTCTGAAATCTTTTATTCAATATTACAACTATTATTTCCATACAATCAAGCTCCTTGTTTGATTATCCACACACACAGTGTCCCCTGAGGCTGTATATTTCATGACCAGAGCTTTTCTTTTCTATCCAGCAACTGAGGACCCCCAGCGGATTGGCCCGTAGGTCACACCTGCTGTGTGCCAACACCATGTTAGGAGCTGGGCCTCTAAGACGAGGAAGAGTCTCTACCCAAAGTCCAGGGAAGGTGTGAGTGAGTGAGCACACAAGTCACCCCTGCAAGGCAAGAGCTGCTGTGCAGAGAGGATCGATATGCTAGGCAGGGGGAGGAGGGGAGGGAAGGTGAGTGTGCTAGGCAGGGGGAGGAGGGGAGGGAAGTTCAGTGTGCTAGGCAGGGGAGGAGGGGAGGGAAGGTGAGTGTGCTAGGCAGGGGGAGGAAGAGAGGGAAGGTGAGTGTGCTAGGCAGGGGGAGGAAGAGAGGGAAGGTGAGTGTGCTAGGCAGGGGGAGGAAGAGAGGGAAGGTGAGTGTGCTAGGCAGGGGGAGAAGGGGAGGGAAGGTGAGTGTGCTAGGCAGGGGGAGGAAGAGAGGGAAGGTGAGTGTGCTAGGCATGGGGAGGAGGGGAGGGAAGGTGAGTGTGCTAGGCAGGGGGAGGAAGAGAGGGAAGGTCAGTGTTCTAGGCAGGGGAGGAGGGGAGAGTACGCCCGGTGCAGAGCAGGCCCTGGGAGCCCTGTGTTTCGGGGCCTGACTCTGAGCCTGGTGGAGCCCAGTGTGGGGCCTACTTGCGCCCCCACTGCAGATGCGAGACGCCAGCTAGGATCTGATGGCTGTCGGTGATACCAAAGATGCGATCTGAGGGGAGAAATGGCGTGGAGGAAAGCGCTGGAGAGCTGGGGGCGGAATTTCAAGGGACCCTAAGGCGTGAGCCTGGCTCCGCGGCCTGATTGGAGGCCCCCTTGGGGACACCACGGAAAGTGTCTCAGCTCCTCCTGGATGGAGGGAAAGCAGGGCCACTGCCCCTTCACGATGCCTGGGGACGTGGCGTGTGGGGCTGGGCACCTGGGGGTCTGAGGCTGCGTCACTGGCGAGGCTGTGGACAGCAGAGTGGCCCTCAGCTCCGCAGCTGTCTCCCCTCAGCCCTGGGGACAGCGGGACACGGCTCTTCTCTCCAAGGTTCCAAAGGACCCGAGAGACGTCAGATCTCCAATTAACGTGGAGAAAGCTATAAAAATGTACAGGTCCACATCGTCGACAGCCTGGATTTGGTGATATGAGAATAAAGACAAGGCCACATTCTGAAGCAGGCCTGAGGTGGTGCCCACTGCTAGATCATGCGGCATGTGCCGCTGCCAGGAGAAACGTGCTGCATGAGCACACGGGCTCCCGAGTCGCACGGCCCCAAGCACGGCTCCATTCTCAGTGCTCATCCCTTCATGCCGGTGACGCCTCTGCCTCCCCTCCCCGCCCCGTCCTGCTTGCCGCTGGCCTCTCTCCACGCTCCCTGTCATCCTCGGACAAAACGGAAGAGTCCGCTCTCGCGTTCTGTGCTGCGAGGCTTTTAGTGAAATTCTGTCGGGTGCCAGGGAGCCTCGTGACAGACTGTCCCCGGGTCCCCCAGGGCAGGGACGCCTGCACGCCCAGTCTTGTGCCTCTGCCCCACATTGCCGCGGCAGGCACCATGCAGCCCCTGCTGCGGCTGCTCCGCCGTGCACGGCCCGCGCCCGAGCTGCCGAGCTAGGCCGACACCCTGCTCAGAGGGTGCCTGCCGGCCCCGCACCTCCCACTGCCGTCACCAGGAGAGGCTGCCTGTCTTCTTGGTCAAAGCCTCCACGGACTCGCCCTTGTGCGTTCAAATGGCAGCAGGTGTGACCGGGAACAGTCGGAGGCACTTGACACGAGCAGAGACCACAGCTGGCTGGAGAGAAGGGGCAAAGCACTCTCGGGCTGCCCGGAGGAGCCCCTCTCCCTGGCCATAGTTTGGCCAAGACTCCTGGGGGCATCGTCCCCTCTGCACAGACGTCCACGTGGCAGCCACCAGGACACTGGCGAGCTTGCGGTGCTGGGCAGGCACCACTGCTAGACGCGGTCTCTAAGGCGGCTTTAACCTCTTCTCTTTCCTCTTTGTCACAGGGAACAGAAAGAGCTGATCCAGCACCCACCTGGGCTGCTTTCAGGTCTCCGGCACAGCCTGGGAAGTGTCCACAGCTGGCGCTCAGATGCCGCGGGGACCGTGGGGACCTGCGTGCAGATGCCGTGCCCGCATCCCTGCGCCTCGCCCCTTCCTTCCCGCCACACGGTGACCACAGCAGCCACGAGAGATGCTCAGCTCATTTG